CGATACCACAAAAGATTTTAGTTTGCCACAACATTTCCTACACAATAACCTATCAACAACGTGCTTAGTGGACTATCACAGGAAAAGAAAATCACACTTGGTAGAAAAATAGAAACACCTTAGTGGTAATTCAGGATGAAGAGAGTAAAAATGTGAACACTTCAGTTGTAAATAATCAAGATGAAGAAAGTGAAAATAATTGGAGCACTTCTGTTGTTGTCATTGTAGTAAATGTTGTTGTATTCTCTGTTGTTCTATTTGTGATAATTCTACTGTTCTTCAAACAAAAACCACGTCAAAATGAAACAAGAACAATTAGGAATAGTTACTTTTCGAAAAAATGAAGATTCACATGGCCTTGTAATGATCATGCCACAATCAATGTCATTATCTTCAACTGTAGGTGAATATTCACTCTTATTAACAGCAGCAAGCGAGACAAACATGTGTACTGTAATTTATTTTCTGATGATTGTTACACTTTCATTATGTTCAAAGTCATTTGCTCAGATCCAGCTTGTTACTGAACCACCAGGAGAGGTGAAGACCTTTCCAGAACAGAATGTTACATTGCCATGTGTTTTAAAGAACTTAAATAAATCTCAACATACTGTCAAATGGATTCAAATTGGAAGTTCTGACCTAAATAACACTATTTCAAAAAACAGAGAAGTCCTCATACCTAATCTTCAAAGGTTTGGTCAATATTTCTTCCTTGGTAATGGAATGAACTTTACTCTTCTCATTAATACACCAGATTCAATAGATTTTGAATCATTTACCAATATTAGCACATTCTATAGGTGTTTGATACACGATTCGAATGAAAAAGTAATTGTTACCACAACTTCAAATGTCATTATACAGAAACCTACATTTAGGTCACCAGTATGTATATTTGAAAACATTTTATATGTCAATGGAGAAAAATTATCATTAGCATGTTTCTATGATTCAGATCCTAATATAATTACAATTGTAAAATTAGAAAACGGACAGGTTTTACCTACTGATTTAGTAGCCTTCACCTATATTCACACTAATTTCACATTAACAAAAGAGGACCACAATGAAAAGTTTGTATGTGAATCTAGGAGAAATGGAACAAATGAGACAAGAAGCTGCTTAATGGGCCCCATCACTGTCAACTATAAACCTGAGATTAATATCACACAAACATCTGCACTGGAATTCCACTGTACAGCAGAGCCTAGGCCTCCTGTCAATGTAACACACTGGATAGTGGACTCTAGTATTCCAAATGGCAGTTTCAGAATTTCAAAAAGCATTTTAAAATTCACATTTAACTCATTAAATGTTGATTCTGAGTTGAAAATATCATGTGAGGCAGAAAATTCTATTGGAAAAGGAATTGAATCTTTGATCATTCTGGTCACAAATACAAATAATCAGAATGAAGAAAGTGGAAACACCTTAGTGTTAATTCAGGATGAAGACAGAAAAAATGGAAACACTTCAGTTGTACAGTAAATAATCGGGATGAAGAAAGTGAAAATAATTGGAGCACTTCTGTTGTTGTCATTGTAGTAATAGTTGTACTCTCTGTTGTGGTTGTTTTTGTGATAATAATTCTACTATTCTTCAAACAAAAACAACATAAAAATGAAAAAAGTAAGAATAATACAGTTGCTTTCCGAAAGAATGCAAATTCACAAGGCCTTGTTTATGATCGTGGCACAATCAACGTCCCTGAATTCCATGTTGATTATCAGGAAACAGAAAATGAAATCTATGTCGATGGTGATGGGTTAAGCAATGGTGAGACAAATACAACCAATAAGAAACTATTGTATAAAAAACTTGAATATTTGGACGAACACAAAGAAAATGAGAATGAAATATATGAAGGACCCGATATTAACAAAGATGGTGATACAAAAATGACAGAAGATGAAGCTTTTATTCTGAAATGAATAAACCTGATTATAAAGAATGTGAAAATGAAATCTATCAGGGTCCTGAGTGATACTGTACAGTATAACCAAGTTTGATATGGTCACATGATCGGTCACTAATGTCCTGCAAAATAGCAATGACAAAATTTACATTAAAATTAATGACAATTTCTTTATCAGAATTAAAAAAAACTTTGATTATGAGGCGAAAATATGTCTGGCCGAAAATTCAGTTGAGAGGAATTAAACTTTTAACATACAGTGTACCAGCAGTGGTGTAATGCCTACTGTACGCACTCTCGTGCAGCGGACATATCAGTTTCTAATAATCAGGACGAAGAAGTTGAAAATAACAGCAATTCAATTGTGGTCACTGCAGTTAAATTGTTGAGATGATCACCAAATTAAAACAGAAAAAGAATATTCAAAAGTCCTTGTTTATCAGAATGCTGCAATCAAAACAACTGAATTTTATAGTGATCATCACAAAACGAAAAACAAGATCTATGTTAACAGCGATGGGTCAAGCAATAAAATAAATACAGCCACCCAGAAACTAATGTATAAACTTGACGATTTGGATGAATATATAGAAAATGAGAACGAAATACACCAAGAACCTAAAAGAAACAGAGATGAAGGAAAACAGATGAAAGATGAACATGCTTATAACCATAATTATAATACAAAGAATGTGAAAATGAAATCTATCAGGGTCCTATATAACAAAGCAAGGCCATGGTAGGTTACAAAATTAATTTCAAATATAGTATTTACATTTGAGACAAGAGTAACAAAATTATGTCAAGAAAATCAGCAGTAAATGAGTTTGTAATATTTAGCAGCATTTGTATCATGATCATTCATTTTCCATGGAATGAACTTGGTGTGATTGTTAAACACAGTTTTTACTTTTCTCCTTGAAATTCTTTCCATTTTGCATAATGAAATGGGTATGAATGTAGCCTAAGCCAGAGGAAGCCTATGCTCTCCCACTTTCCCATCAGAATTGCCTATACTGTAATATGTGAACACCCATTTTGAGGTACATGTTTTTTTGTACCTCACTGTCTGCATACAGAGCTTTATGTGGCTATTATTACGCCAGTCTTAATCCATTCTTAAATCTGACTGGATGTTTTTGAAATAATCCAATCCATACATACCACAACATATTAGAATTATGAATTTGTATTATACCTAAAGACTGGTGTAACCATAGTGATTGCCTATATTTAAATTCTATTATCATAATAGATTTAATATTCAGTCACTTTGAGAGTACATGATATAAAGGATACTAATTCATGTTCCAGTGAATACCCCTGGTATAGGAAGTAATATAGCAAATTTAACAGGAAATATGGCTCCAAAACTGCTAAAGATTATTCTAAATACAGTATACACTCAGCAAAGTGGAGGTAACTTTGAGTCCTTTCTGATTTTATGTGGATTGCTTTCAACTTTATTTGATGATTGAAATAACTTTGAAGTTGAAATAAATAAAACTTTTAGTCTTGAGATTATTGTTACCGCTGAATCAAAGAACAATATTTCAAAAAACAGAGATGTCCTCATTGCTAATCTTAAAAAAGTCTGCCAACATTTCTCAATCCTTGGTGATGCAATGAGCTTTTACACTCTCATTATTATTCCAAAAAGATACTGTAGATAAATTGATTTTGGAACATTTCCCACTGTTAGTACATATTACAGGTGTTCTATGATAAACAGACAAAATATATTCAAAAAGCAAGTTTATATGTCATTTTACAGAATTCGACCATTGTACCTCCACTTGTGGACATATAACACTTCTAATGTCATTGGAGAAACTATAAAAATAGGATGTCACAATTTTTCAAATCCTATGATTATAACAACTTTAAAAATCAGGCAAAAGACAAGTCTTGTTAACTAAATATCATAATGATCTTTTCATTTTTTACTCTTTAACATTGAAAAAAGAGGACCACAATGCAATGTTTCTATGTGAATCAAGAAGAAACGCAACAAACGAGATTCAAATCTGCTCAATATAGGCGCTGGGGGGGGGGGGCCACAAAGGCTCCCCTGTAGCGCCAAAGCATCCAGTCGCTCCAGTGTATGATCTATTTTATACAATGAGCTTTTTATGACCTCCGCCAATGAGGTTACGTATTCATTGCTGTCTGTCTGTCTGTTAGCAAGATTATGCAAAAACTAATGCATGGATTATCATACAATTCAGTGGAATATTATATCATAAAGGAAGACACCTTTCAATGTCAAAGGAAATTCAATTTTTTATTCTCGAGCATAAAAGAAAATAATGGAATCGCAGCGCTCAAGAAAACAACGTGCCTGAAGACGCAGGGCGATGACATTATTTTCTTGAGGGTAGACTGTAGCACTCAAAAAAAAATAATGTAGATGAATACAACAGGCGATTCCATTATTTCATTGAGGGTAGGTTGCAGTTTCACCAATCATGGACTGAGCATCTGTTGTTGTTACCAATACACATATCACAGTATTGACAGTAGAAAATTCATCTGTGTATCTTTTTTGCCATACAACAAAAAATTTAATATGAATTTTGGGATATTTCATATTTAGAATTGACTAAATTCAGCTAAAGTATATAATTCATGTTATACTCTAAAAGCTTTCTAATGAATGTTTGGGGTTTTTGGCAAAAAGGAGCCACTGGGGCTTTAAATATCCAACTGACATTTTTAATTTTATATTTGGAAGCTAAAAACTTTACGATGTAAACAATCAAAATATTGATTGATTTTTTTCATTAACATTAAGGTACTGTATAACTTAACAAATTCAAAAAAAGGTAATGAATATTTTAATAATAATAAATCAGTTTCAATGTGGTACAGATACTAGATACCAAAATTTCCTTTACATCATACAGTGTTTTTAGAGGGCACCGGATTTATATCATTACCTGTAAATTAATGGTACGCTCAGGGATATAAAAAGGATATTTAAATTCTATGAATAATAGATTAGACCAGTGACCACTAAATGTAAGATATAAAGGATATGCCAATGGATTTAATATCCTTTTTGAATGCTTCTCATGATCTAGTATTGTAATACAGCAGAACACAACAGGAAATTTAGCTCTACAGTATCACCACAAAAGATTCTATCTATTATACTAAAATAGCCTCTTGTACCAACAACCTGCATAGTGGACTATATATCAGGGAAGAAGCTCAAAAAATTATGCACACTGACATAAGAAACAACTGCTAAAGATTATTCTAGACTCAGCAAAGTGGAGATACAGTAATAATGAGCCTTTTCTTATTTGATGTGGATTGTTTTCAACTTTACTTGATGATTGAAATACTACTATACTAAATGAAACTTTTTGTCTTTCGAACACTTGAAGAATGTCGAATGGAGTAGATGATCCACAGTCTGAAACATGGAGGAAATTGTTTTCCTTGGTTTTTACAGTCCTTATTTTTAATTGTAGATGAAAAATTTATATTTTACAATTATGAGTTGCAAGTGAAACAGACACAATGTGTAACTGTGTTTACATCTTGTATAGTTTGATTTCATTATCTTTACATACATTTGCTCAGGTTGAGTTTGTTACTAAGCCACCAAGAGAAGTGAGGACTTTTCCAAGACAGACTGTAACACTGCCATGTATTCTTAGGAACCTAAATAAATCTCAACACACAGTTCAATGGGCTCAGATTGAGGTTATTAATAGCAGTGAATCGCAGAAAAATATTTCAAAAAACAGAGAGGTCCTCATTCGTAATCTTAAAAACTTTGGTCAACAATTCTCAATCCTTGGTGATGGAATGAACTTTACTCTTCTCATCATTATTCCAACAAATAGATCAATTGATTTTGGAAAATTTTCGACTGTTAGTACATTTTATAGGTGTTCTGTAGTTACACAGATAAATGATATTCAAAAATCAACCTCAAATATCATTATACATAAATCGACAATTCAAACTCCAATTTGTGGAACTACTGATACTTATATAATAGGAGAAACATTGAGAATACAGTGCACAAATTTGTCAAAGCCTACCATTTTAGTATCTTTAAAAGCTGGAAAAACACAAATCCTGCCTTTTGAAAATTGTAGAGATTCCTATATATTTTACTACTTAACATTAACAAAAGAGGATCACAATGCAATATTTGTATGTGAATCAAGAAGAAATGGAACAAATGAGGTACAAAGCTGCTCAATGGGACCCATCACTGTCAACTATAAACCTGAGATTAACATCACACAAGTATCTCCAATGGAATTCCACTGTACAGCAGAAGCTAGGCCTCCTGTGAATGTAACACACTGGATTGTGGACTCCAGTCTTCCAAAGGAAAGTTTCACAATTTCAAACAGTGTTTTAAAATTTAATCATTCAATAAAAATTGATTCTGAAATAAAAATATCATGTGAAGCAGAAAATTCTATCGGAAAAGGAATTAAAACTTTCATCATTGCAGTTGTAAACAATCGGAGAATTCCGGTTGTTGTCATTGTAGTACTCTGTGTTGTGGTTGTATTTGTGACAACGATTCTTTCATTCTTGAGACGAAAAAAAAACCAACGTAAACAAAAATCAAAGAGACATACAAATTCTGATACATTTGCAAGCCATGATGATCAACAGGTCACTGAATTCCATGCCGATCATCAGGAAAAGGAAAATGAAATCTATATTGCTGGCGACAGGTTTAGCGATGATGGGACGAATACATCCAATCAGAAACTGACATATAAAAAACTTGAGAATTTTGATGAATACAAAGAAAATGAAATATATGAAGGAGCTAATATGAACACAGAAAGTGAGAGAAAAGTTATGAAAGATAAATATGATTATGCTCAAGTGAATAAACCTGATTATAAAGAGTGTGAAAATGAAATCTATCAAGGTCCTGAATAATGTGAGTTTCAATTGGTCTCATGATCGAATACTAATTAAACTGATAGCCCTCATGCTCATATCCTGGACAAATAGCAATAAGAAAAAGATAAAAAAATTGTGGACTCCAGTCTTCCAAAGGAAAGTTTCACAATTTCAAACAGTGTTTTAAAATTTAATCATTCAATAAAAATTGATTCTGAAATAAAAATATCATGTGAAGCAGAAAATTCTATCGGAAAAGGAATTAAAACTTTCATCATTGCAGTTGTAAACAATCAGAGAATTCCGGTTGTTGTCATTGTAGTACTCTGTGTTGTGGTTGTATTTGTGACAACGATTCTTTCATTCTTGAGACGAAAAAAAAACCAACGTAAACAAAAATCAAAGAGACATACAAATTCTGATACATTTGCAAGCCATGATGATCAACAGGTCACTGAATTCCATGCCGATCATCAGGAAAAGGAAAATGAAATCTATATTGCTGGCGACAGGTTTAGCGATGATGGGACGAATACATCCAATCAGAAACTGACATATAAAAAACTTGAGAATTTTGATGAATACAAAGAAAATGAAATATATGAAGGAGCTAATATGAACACAGAAAGTGAGAGAAAAGTTATGAAAGATAAATATGATTATGATCAAGTGAATAAACCTGATTATAAAGAGTGTGAAAATGAAATCTATCAAGGTCCTGAATAATGTGAGTTTCAATTGGTCTCATGATCGAATACTAATTAAACTGATAGCCCTCATGCTCATATCCTGGACAAATAGCAATAAGAAAATTTACACAAGATAAAAAAAATTATTAGAATTTATGAATGGATATAGTAGGAAAGTAGGGACCTAGGATGTCAAAAATGGAACGAAATAGTGTAAAGAAAGCCTTTTAATGCAAATGGTAAAATGGATTCTATTTTATGAGGGATTCTCCTTTGAAGTGCGGGTAAATGACCTTTGTTTTACACTTTAGGTTCAGAAAAATACTTGGAAATCATTTGTAATTCTTTGATGTAATATTACTTGTAATTATTTATGATTTAATTAGCTAGTAGTTAACATTTAATTATCTCAAGTTGTTCTGGAAGTACCCCTTTGAAAAATAAAAATAATCTACATTTTCTACTTTAAGGTTCCTTCTTTTTTATTTAGTTGATTAGGCAGACACTATACGAACTTAATTCAATGAAGACCCATGAAAACACTGGTCTATCATACACTTTAACACAATATGTACCTTTCTACATGGAATGGATGTCATTTTTGGTTTTTTTTTTCAATTTGAAAAGGCCTGAATAGCTTAAAGCCATGCTCTAAAAAAACCCCTATTTTTTTATATGCTGTTTGTTTCTAAGATACGATAAGTGTATTTGACGAAAAATATTTTTTTCCAATATATAAAAACTGGGTGGAAGGGGGGGGGGGGGGAAATCATACAACCACCCAGGGGGGGGGGGGAGATCATACAACCACCCATGTTGTGTTTAGTGTTACCATTTTGGTACTTTACTGTCTGCATAAGCCATATATTTCTATTGCAAGAAAAAAAGATTAGTTGGTTATCTTGTGACCACTGAATGCAAGCTATATAAAGGATACACCAGTGAATTCATGATACAGTGAGCACGCCCATGAAGGAAGCAATACAGAAACAGGGAGTTTTGTTCCACTCCAGCAGGGCAAGTTTACTACACAACAGCTTTACTAACAAATCTAGTTGATCAATGATAGACTATACATCACTGAATTGGCTCACACTTGGTAGGCCTACAGCATTGATAGCCACACACCAACTGCTAAGGATTATTTTTAAATTGAAGACTTAGCATTATGCGAAGACTTTTCTGTTTTTGAAGTGGAAATATTTTGTCAACTCTATTTGATGAGCGAATTATTTCTACTGTAAGTTCCAACTGTGGTAAACACTGTGTAAACATTAAACAAAGAAGGTACTTATACTGTATATGGAAGCTTAAAGAATTTAATACTTTCTTTTAAATTAACAAATTATTGTTGGTGCACGTGATAAATATTTATAATTTTGTGAATACTACATTCGTGTAACTTGGAATTTTTAGCACAGAACTTTCAAGACAATTAAACAATTTTTCTTGATTCAGAATTTGCAGCCCAATGTCATTTCTGGAAAAGATGCGTATTAATATTTATATCATGGTTGCTTTAATGTCGTTTTCTTCTTCACAAACATTTTCTCAGGATGAGTTTGTTACTCAGTTCCCAGCTGGGGTGAAGATTTTCCCAGGACAGACTGTTATACAGACATTGAAAATTCAACCTCCAATTTGTGGAACTATCAATACTTCTGTAATAGGAGACACACTGAAAATAGGTTGTTTCAATTTTTCAAATCCTACTCTCTTAATGTCTTTAAAATCCGACAAAAGACAAGTTTTGCCAACTAAATATAATAATGAACATTTAATTATTTACTATTTAAAAGTGACAAAGGAGGACCACAATGCAATGTTTGTATGTGAATCAAGAAGAAATGGAACAAATGAGGTACAAAGCTGCCCAATAGGCCCCATCACTGTCAACTACAAACCTGAGATTAACATCACACAAGTATCTCCAATGGAATTCCACTGTATAGCAAAGGCTAGGCCTCTTGTCAATGTAACACAGTGGATTGTGGAGCCTAGTATTCCAAAAGAAAACTTCACAATTTCAAACAGTGTTTTAAGATTCACTGATCCAATAAAAGTTGATTCTGAGTTGAAAATATCATGTGAGGCAGAAAATTCTATAGGAAAAGGAATTCAAACTTTGATCATTCCAGTTGCAAATAACCAGGATGATGAAAATGGAAATGGGAACACTTCAGCGGTAAATTATCAGGATGAACACAATGGAAAAGGGAACACTTCAGTTGTAAATACTCAAGATGAAAAAAGTGGAGGCGTTTCAGTTGTAAACAAACAGGATGAAGATACTGAAAATTGGCGTACTGTTGTCATTGTAACAACTGTTGTTCTCTCTGTTGTGTTTGTACATGTGATAATAATTCTACAGTTCTTCAAACAAAAGCAACGTAAAAATGAAAAAAGGACAATGAAAAAAACTTTTGCTTTTCAAAATAATGAAGCTTCCCAAGGCCTTGTTTATGATTATGCCACAATCAATGTCACTGAATTCCACGCCGAATATCAGGAAACGGAAAATGAAATCTATGTTGATGGTGATAGGTTAAGCAATGGTGAGATGAATACAGTCAATAACAGATTAATTTATAAAAATCTTGAGGATTTGGAAGATTACAAAGAAAATGAGAATGAAATATATGAAGGACACAATATTTGACAAAGATGGTGATAAGAAAACGTTAACATTTCTATTTTGCAATGAATAAACCTGATATAAAGAATGTGTAAATAAAAATCTAAGAGTTTGAAATGGTCACAAGATCAGTCACTAATGTCCTGCAAAATAGCAATGACAACAATATACATGAGAATTAAAGACATTATTTATTTTATCAAAACTGCATGTTCTTCTATCAAATTTAGAAGTAAATATCAAGCATTAAATCTAACATTCATATAATAATTTTCCTATAGTGTACTATGCGGAGCTCTACTAATTGCTAATTAGCACAGATCTCCCTCCAATTACAGACCACTTTTGAGACTGGTGTTTACATGGTCTTTAGTAGCTTTGGTCTCTAATTAGATTAATAAAAATAAAATATATTTGTTCATTTTGGGACCACAGAAAAGTGTTCTCTAATTGGAGGGTGTCTTTAATTGGAGTCTTTAATTATAGGGAGATCTGTATTTATATTTGTGACAATACGGTAATCATTTTCATTCCTGAGAAAAACAAAAATTGTAAATTGCTTCAGCATTTGTCAGGTTTGATTTAACACTGAAGTTTGGTTTCCATGATTGTTACACACCGTTGGTGACACTTAATATTGAGAGCCTTCCTGATAGCATAGTGGACAGTTGTGTAGTGTAACAATTGCAGTGAAAATTCTGTAGCAAAAGTTTAGTGATTTTAAGAAACATCAGGCTTAATTTAATGCATTTTTTTTTCAGCAAAATGAATATACAATATTAATTAAATGTATGTAATGGACTTTTTATGGACTTTCATTTTTTTTTCCTGAAATTTCCATTTTTCCTGGCAGCAGGTGTGCTAATTGGTCAATAATTATATTTATTCTAAATCATCATTATTGGCGGGCGGCAAGTTCACTAAAAACAAGGTATAAAAAAGTCTCGCCTAAACCTGTTAATGTTAAATTTCAGGTAAGAACTATAAAGTAGTAAGCATGTCTTTTCTATATAATTATTGGATTAAACTGTTGTTTGAAGATTTGTGTGACAATATGCAAAATGCTTGCAGAATACCACATACTGTATATAGTTTTTGAAAAGTCTTTGTTTTATTAAACTGCTTATTTATTAAATAAGCTTAGTGTTCTAATCAAAATTAAATTGCTTAGTGTTCTAATCAAAATTAGGTATACGCATGGTCAGTGGCATGCATATCTAGGAGTCTTGAAATGGAGGGGTGGTGAAAGCCGGGGCCTTGATGAAAGTGAAGGGGAACTAGGTCGCAAAATAAGGTAATACAGTATGAGGTGATTCTAACTACTTGAGTATGATTTTATTTTTCTCCCCTGTTTTCAAAAAAGGGGGAAGGGGCTACTGAAGCATCATGAAGGGGCGTTCACCCCTAGATACGCCACTGCACATGGTATACACTTGTAAATGCTCTGATTGTACATGTTGATGCTTAATATTATGTCTATACTAAGAACATAATATCATTGCATCAATTATTTTCATTGTAGTATGTAACAGTTTAAATTAGATATTATTTTTCTCACAAAACAAAAAAAATGTAACTAGTAATATTCTGCTTTTTTAACAGCCCCTTAAATTGTGCATATATATCAATATACAGTATAAGGATCTTAAATATTAAATCATTGCAAAATAATTTGTTTTCATCTATTTATTCAGCTTCAGGCACTAGGGCCAAGGATGTGCCAGTGAACTAAATCACTCTTCAAAGTGGCAATCCCATTTGTCTTATTGGAAGCAGTTGATAAATTATTTAATCTTTTAAAATCAGCAATTTATTGTTTGTGAGTCCTAAGTAAGACAGTACAGTATCCTTATATGGTCTCATGATTGAGACCAAGTAATAATTTATAACTCATATTCTAATTTTCCTCTAGAGAGAAGACAGACAACAAAAGGAAGTCTTCTCTGTACAATGTATATTCCACATGTTCGCATACTGTAATATGCTGAGGTAACATTCCCTTAGGTCAAATGACATGAGTCCCACAATAATAAGTTTCCAGATGTTTACATGATAGGATGTAAATCACATTCCCACATGTGAATTCAATAAGAATAAGATCATCCAAAGTAACATTCCCAAACGGTCACATGGTAGTGTTCTAAATAACAATATGGTCACATGATTGGGTTTAACAATTAGCACACAGAATATCTGACATCAACTTTATACAATTACCAAAACTGCTAAGCCCAACCCTAGCATATTCTTTCCAGTCTGTCTTACATCACATCTTGGCCTATTTCCAATTGTCTGAAAACTTTTTTTTTTTAGTTTAAGAACCTAATAACATACTGTACATTATCCACTATCACCTAGATCATATGCTACAATTAGGAAGTTTTGGATTCTTTGTATGACTTTCATAATGTATTTCTTTTTTGCAATTAAAGCTAGGTATCCGTATGACCTGGATCTAGTTAATGTGCCGTAGAGGGTGACATTGATGCTTTGAAACTAGAGGAGACTTGCCATTTATAAATGTTTACCACAGTTGCTTCCAATGCAGTAAATGATAGTATTTGGTGGGCTTCCCAGTGCAGTAAATGATAGTATTTGGTGGTCAATTCCCGAGTGTGAGGGTTAAGAAACATTTTCATGGTTATGGTCCCAATTCACATTCCCACATAGTTACACATGAAGGTCCTACTGTAGGTAACCTTCCCACATAGATACATAAGAAGGTAATACACTGTACATTTCCATATGGATACACAATAGGGTCCTTAATAACATTCCACATAGTCACACAAAAGGGCCCTTAAAAGTAATCTCACATAGGCATATAATAATGTGGTCCTTATAGTAACAATCACATAAGGTCCTTAGTAACAATCACACATGGCCAAATAAGGTCCTAAATAACATTTCCACATGGTTACTTGATAGAGTCCTTGCAATCCCACATGGTCCCTTGAACAGGCCCTTTCTAACAATTCCATATGGTTCCATGAACAAGTCCTTACTAGCAATCCAACAAGGTCCCAGACATGGTCTTTACTAACAATCTCACATGGTCCCATGAAATAGTCTTCACTAACAATCCTACATGGTGCTTTGTTGATGTATTGTATCGATAATAATCTTCTTCGTCCTCATATTTGCATTCCATACATAAAGACATGTGACCAGCACGGCTATAACTGTGCTAACATTTTAATTGAATCTTACACATCCGATCTTAGACGTTTTTCAGTTTTATGTACAGGTCCCAATCTTTCAAACTCATTCTCGTCTAGTGCCGAAACCAAACCTACAATCAGTAGTTTTAAAACTAATTTTAAAAAGTCTCTGATCTGTGTATATGGTAACCATTTAACCTAATGAACTTTGTCCAGCTTTATCCTTCTTCTCTTTTATTTCTGATTTTTATTATCATTATTTATTGTATTCATTATTTGTTATTATACATATTGTTAACTTATTTTTAATTTCCACCTGAGTTTTTAAATTTCGCTCGTAATATGTTATTTTTATTATTGTGTCCATCCAGCTAATAAATTATTGTTGTACTTATATACTATTACTTTTTTTTAAATGGGCGTCAAACTTAACTAACCTCCATCCACACACAGTTTTTATCCTATTGTTATGACATTACATAATTATGAAATATCAAAAATTCTCATTTTGAATTTTTTTTAAGCAACTATATTTCTTAAGTGAATTGTATTCTAAAAAAAATCTAAAAAACCACTGTTTATTATTTATGTGAATGTTAATTTGTGTGTGGAAAAAACTTAATAAAGAAAGAAAAGACCTCTGACCTCAAAACCTTCACTTAGAAATTCCAGGATGGTGTCCGACAGGGAGATAGTTTGACTCATTATTTAAGTTAGTTTATTTTAGAATATGTAAGTTTAGTATAAGATTATAGTGTCCTGAGTACGACGTACTGGAATGATGTTCATTTATCGAAAGAAGGCCAGCCTCGACTACCTAGGCCTACAGTAATCAGTTGTTTTTTTTTTATTTTACAAACACAAAATTTTACTGGTTGGTTGGTTGTTTTACTGGTAAAATTGATGGCTAAAACGGCTTCAGGAGATCACTGGGTCGAGTCGCTGGCACCCCATTTGGTGGTCTTGCGGCCACAGGTGGGAGGGTGGATGGACACCCAGCAGCAAAAAGAAAAACAAACAAAAAAACAGCTGAATATAGGGCAGATGAACTCCTCGAAGCCAATATCCAACCATGCCTTAGTTTAAGTAGGTTTAGTTTTATAGGACATCACATCAAACTTTCTTCAAAATTAACTCAAATAGCTCACTCAACAAGCGCATAGAGTTTTTTTGCATGACGCGCTATACAAATCCAACTATTATCATTATTACAGTCACATGTATTATGTGTATTTCATGGCCAAAATAAACAAACAAAATAAAAATAAATGAATTGTGGAAATTCTTGAAAAGTGCATTGGCGACTATAGTGGATAAAAATGTTCTGTTTGCCAGTCACTGTCAAAAGGGATTTGTAAGATAAAGTGTGTTAAGATACTCACTTGGATTTATTATACTCAAATTCTATATGTAAGCAGTCTTCTATACCAACTTCCATTTTGATGGATGAGTTCACCTCTGGATAGTGGGACAGAGTGTGCACTAAAATATCCATCTCCTTGGTTGTGTCTGTCAGCCTCTTTGTTATTGTTACTTTCAAATAATATCTGTTGAAATGGTTTCATGGTTTCATGTTATTAGAGGATAAATAAACCTCTCCTATGATATCTACCTGATAAAAACACATTGAAATGATATTCTTGTTACTACCAAGAACATACCACTATCCTCACCATTATTACAACCTTTGTCATCATCATTACCATCATCCTCATCATTTTATTATTGCATCACTACCACTATGGACCTGCTAAGCCCCGCCCCTTGGTAATTGTTGCTAACGTCTGGATATTATTAATAAGGTCACACAAAATGATAGTGTAAAATCATAAGAACACACATGCGTTCGTGGGACAACACCTATTTGTAAGACACGCACGTATGCTTTCCCCTGTTATGATTGGTTTGTTGGTAACTTTGACTGACACTAAGAAAAGGTCCATATCTCCTCTTTATCATCATTCTTTTTATCAAACTGATTCCCTCCTCCATCCCCTTTTAATCGTTATACAGACCCCAACCCGGGCTCTGTCACTGTCACCCTACCCATTTGTTGACTGTTTAAGGCGCATTATAAATAAGGCTACATTAAGTGACAGCGCTACTGGGCCCAGCATCTGCACTAAGATTAGCCCTGATTATCACTTTATCACCATTTAAACAGTACGCTTCTCATTTTCATCCACATCCTCAACAGCCTCCTCTTCTTGTCTTCCTCTTCATCATTATTCCCATCCTCCTCCTCTTCCTTGTTCACCGTCCTTACCCTCCCTTACCTGAGTTTAACATTTGCTCCTGTGTATGATTCATATGGCTTCTCCACATTCTGGAACTCAAAAAGGTAACTGATGGAGTTGGCCAGCTCCCCTGGCCGTGCAAGCTCCTTAACCAACGATGTAAACTCATGGTGGTTTCCTCTATCATAATATAACTCTACAAAAATAATGTTTTGGAGTATTAATTATAATTGGTCTATTGACAGCATCTATTTATTTTATGATGAAATATCTGTGATAAAAGAAGCAGTTGGCGCAATGGTTGTGGTTTGGACTGCCAGGCTTGAGGTCAAGGGATCGAAAATCTTGCTGTGCATGTCGCTTGTGTCCTTGGGCAAGGCACTTTATCTACATTTGTCTCTTTCCACCAAGGAGTATAAATGGGTACCTGGCAGCGGCGGACCGTCAAGGGAAGCAAGGTATGCAGTGCAGGCTAAAACAAATGAAAAAAAATATAGTAGTACAGTTTCTCCGTTTTATTTAGCATTTCTTAGTCAGGATCTTCTACAGTATATACACCTTAATTTTTCGAGTGGAATGCTACAGTTCATTGGAATAACAAAGCTTTTCAATGTTTGGCCTACTTTGGTGCCTAGGATATTGCCACAGTCAGGCCTATCGCATCGTACTCTAGCAGCTTAGAATTTTCGCATGCTGGTCTTTGATATCAGCCTATCACGTATTCAGTGAGTCAATAGAAGTCAGAGCATACCCTACAATGCTTAAATTTGCTATTGTGACAACCGTGTGGTGGCGACAGAATAGCCAATTAATTTAACACTGGAATGGAAGCAGTGCTTCCAAGTGTATGTGCGCATGCTCTTCTTCTCACAAATCAGGACCTCCACTGCCGATCGAGTATTCTATCTATAAGCCTAATCTCAATGCTCAAAGTTTAAATATATTTACATATGTATATTATACAGTGTAGAAGAAACTTTAAATTATTATTTGAATTGAAATTTGTTAAAATATAGGTATAAGAATTCTTTTGAAGAGAAGAAAACCATGCCGGTATTAAAAATAACATACATTGTATTTTGACTATAGAACACAATCTGATATTGTATAAGTAGTAGGCTTACGAACTTTTCCTATCACTAGCAGGCCATAGCATCAGTGATGTGGGGGCCTTGAAATGGAAGGGAGCTGATGGGGACAGGAAGGTAAAGTGGGGGATCGGTGATTAGGTGAGGAGATATAACTCGCAAAATAAGGTGATATGAGGTGATTTTTAATTACTTGAGCATGATTTGTGAGTATTTTTTTTCCAGGGGTAGGGACGTGTGCGCCCCTTGCACATCCTAGATATGCCAATACCTAGCATACCCTGCAATTTACTCTACGGTCCTCCACTGGTACCTGGTAGGATGTTGTGGCATTGAATGTACTAGTTCTGTGCGCTAAATAAGTAGCAACCGACTAGGTATACTCCCCAGGGAACAGAGAAGGTTGCACTTTGTACTGGTTTGCCATTTTATGTTAATCCAATGTACAGGGATAATAACGCTCAGCGCTTTTGATCATTCGTTGGAATTGGCTCAATATAAATATTTGGGTATTATAAAAACTGAAAAAAAAATCATAAATATAATTAAAACATTAAATTTTTCATTTTGTCTATATCCACTTTTTAGGTATACTGTATTATGTCTGCAAGCAGTATTTCAAGATATCTCATCCCCACTTTAAGCCCTGTCAAGTACATCAAATTTTATTTGACAAAAACATGTGACATGCCTAAATATGGTCATGATGACATCACATCATGACCATATATAGGCACATCATGACTATATATGGGCATACAACAGTTTTTTTGTGAAAGAGAATTTGATAATCTGGACAGATATTAATTATAGAACAAGTAGACCTTTTAAATTCCATATGGAATTCAATGTTGCTTACCTATTTGCCCAACAAATTCAATTCTTATTCCTTGATGTTCAAGCCTTTTGCCTTTTAATGTCACATTTACCTACAAATATAAAAACACATAATGAATTAATAACTATTTATATACACTGAACTGATGTAGCTGCTATCATGAACTACTTATAATTATTATCATTAGTGTTACTGTAGATTAGTACAATATACTGTAATTGAATGAGATATGTTAAATAATAAACAGGGTGTTTCATAATTATTTCAAAATATAAGTATTACTTTAATGATTTATTGAAATTTTCAACAAAAACAAAATTAATGTTTCCAACAAATGAAGAAAACCTTTTTAATACTAAATAACTTAATTTTAAATGAAATTAGAGAATCTTAAATCTGAAGCAAAGATGTATCAAAATCACTTTCTGACTAAAAACAAATGTCCATAATAATTTATGTATCCAGGAAAACAAAATTTTATGTGCATATATGATGAAATTAAGGAATCATGAATCTACTGTAAAACCACGATGCATTAAAATCACTTTAGAGTTATAAAAAAATGCTTCTTAAATACAGCAAATATCTATCATTAAAAGGTGTTCTACTTTCATAGTACATGACAAGATGAAGATGTTCATGACCTGGACAAATGCCATGCGTTGCTTTTAGAAAGTCTCTAAGGCCTTTTTACAACAAATGAATAAAATCATAAAGCATCTTCTAGAATCTATAGTGATATAAGAAAAATTGCCAGAAAGTTGCTTGCCAATATGATAGGAGTCATATTATATATACTATAGTGATATAGTCAGGGGCAGATCCAGAAATGTCCAAAAGGGAGGGGGCCGGAAGGGGGCGCCGAAAGTTGGGCCGATTGAGACAACACTGTCGTAGGGGGTCCAGGGCATGCCCCCGCGAAATTTTTGTGTTCTAGACGCCCGAACATAACATTTGAGGCATTCTGGGCTATCATTTTTTTTTTCTCTTTTTTTTCTTTTTTCCCCTTTTTTTTAAATCCGCCCCTGATAGTGAAAGGATACAAATTTTTTTTTATTTTAGTTGCTTTCTTTAAAATATTTTTGGATTTCATAATTATGAATTTATTCGTCGTTTTTTAATTAATTGGATAATATTAAAATGTCAAATAAAAGATTCTGATAACATCTTCTTTTGACCCTACTGTAAACTGTTCTTTTTTGAGAAAGTACAACTTGGAAGGTTTCTGAGAATAATGCTCCATGATGTATGCCCAGATCATATACAGTAGTGCTACACTGGCATGTTTACTGAAAACCAAATATTCTTTCTGCAAGACGCTACACAAGGCTTTACAAATAGATTGGAAATTAGTGTATAATTGATAAATGCATGTTTCTGCTCTTCCATTATCCATAATGGATGAGGATGTCGCTGGCTTAATATCATACTGAACTGCTAATGGAAAAAAAATGTGTACTACTTTCCAAAAAAAAAAAAAAAATGTTGAATGACTGAATGAATAATTCAGGGAAAATATGTTTTATCCTGTTGCAGAAGTGGCACACAAGTTGCATGACGTAATCATCCATAAAATCATGATAATAATATATTAAGCTTTGGCCGCACTCACATTTTTTATTACAAAAAAATTATTGTATGCCTATATATAGTCAAGATGTGCCTATATATGGTCATGATGTGATGTCGTCATGATCATATTTAGGCATGTCCTATGTTTTTTTTCAAATAATTTGGTAGTCTAGACAGGGCTTAATAAAAAGTGTCTCAGGAAATGCAATGGTATTACAAGTGATGACATCTGATCACAAAGAAAATAATTAAAACAATATTTCATTTGCCATCAGGGTAATTATAATTTTTTGTTTTAATTTTGATGAAACATTCTTATAAATTTCTGAGTTTTCTATGTCCATGGGAATGTGATGTCTATATTCAGCACTGTTCAGGACCTTGTTAACTATAGGTTAGATAGGTTTATAAGGAAAGAAGGAAGGGCTTGCACTTTACATAAGGTAAAGGAAGCCAGGATTTACCATATATCCCTAGATGACAATTATGACCCCCTAGACACAGTAGTCTCTACTTCAAATGTCACCAAAATTAACACATAGATTACCATTGATAGTTAACATTTTGATATAATACTATGCCATGTGTGTGTGTGTGTGCACTAAACGATAGAGATATTTCTGTCTCTAGTTTAATATAGGCCAGTGTTCTCCCAAAGTCGTTTTAGCTGTCAATTTTACCAGTAAAAATAACTGACCAACCAGTAAAAATTGTGTGTTGGTAGAATTTAAAAAAAGCACTTATTAGGCTTAGGTAGAATTCTTTCAACAAACGAACATCATTCCAGTCTAGGCCTAGGCTACGATTAAGTATTAATGTTGTTTTTTAAGCCATTGAACACCGCTTGAAAGTGGCAATACCTCACGTTGTGCGCACTTAGCTGGCTCTATATTAACAAATTTTACAAGTAAAAATATTTCAGTTGGGAGAACACTGATAGGCACTGGTCGAATGACACACTCGCCTACATACAGTATGGTTCTGGAGGTGGAACAAGTCTTCTGGGACAAAAGACTATGAACTGTAGGCCCAGTGTACAATAAAGCATACCCTGCATCAATTGCATGGTTACACAACTAATCAACTAACGAAAGATAAACTGGGTTAATTTATTATTCAGCAAACAACCAACATAGTTCTGCATCATACCTTTCCTGAGATAGACTCTCCATCATAAAAGAGAAATAACTTTTCTTTTTTTCCATCCTCTGTTTTAATCTCTGCTTGCTTGCGGGAAGCAGCATCATCAAGGACGATATCAATCTCTGCACCTCCTCCAAACAGGAAACTCTGTGTAAACAGGAAAACAAATTGTGGAAATGTTACAGCTACAGTATGCTGGTTTTCCCAAATTATTGCACCTGTCAATTAAAATCCCCCACCCTGCCGGACCTGCATAACATTGGGGACTAGAGCCAGGATTGAGCTGGGGATGTAGAGACATTTGTGCCCCAGCAGTGCTGGGATGCATATGTCCAACTGAAACAAGAATGAAATTGGACTGGTAAGGGCTGGATTTTTTAGGGGTCAGTGTATAGTATCTGGGGTTTTCTTCAGTATTGTATATATTGTATGTGTATTGAAAAATATCAAGGACTTGGCCCGGGAAATGCGTTTTAAAAGATGATACCTCGCACTGCCAGGCACTGAGCGGAAAACTTAAGTAACATATTTTATGAATTATATGCCTAGCCCATACTGTACAGTATTTTACTTGCGCAGATACTGTACATAAAAAAAGTTTGCTTGGAAAATTGCTAGGTAAATAGGTGGGTGCGCAGAATCGCAACTACTGCACAATATTAGTAAATACAGGGGCGGATCCTGATGTCAAAAATAGGGGGGGGGGAGCCCTGGGGAATTTATGTTTTTTGCTGATGCCCGGAAATAACCTTGCATTTTGGACAATCAATAATATCTTTTTCTTTCCTTCTTTTTTTTGACTCTCCAAAATGGGAGAGGCTAGGGGAGGGCCATCCTGGTACCCCCTAAATCCGCCCCTGTTATCATGAAATTAATTAAGCTAAATACTGATAAATAAATTTCTGCAAAAATTGTGGAGAAACCAGCACTTATTTTGCAAAATGGGTGGGTGGATATCAACTACAGGCATAACTTTTGCACCAGAGGATATAGGACTATGCCTGTGCAGGACTTTTCTTAGTCTGGTGCCTGGCTAAATTGCCACAAGTCAGGGTGATTGGGGTTGTGGGGCATGATTACTAACTTTTTGGCTGGCCCAGCTCAGCCAAGTCATGCACTGGTTCCTACTGTAGTCAGGGGCGGATTTAGGGGGGGGGGCGGCCTGGCCCCGGCCCCCCCTTTTGGGAGGTAAAAAAAGAAAAAAAAAAGAAAAAAAAAGGGAAAAAGGAAAAAATGATGGCCAAGAATGCCTCAAATGTTATGTTCGGGCGTCTAGAACACAAAAATCTCG